CCATAACACACAACACTGGGACTTAAATCCTCAACACACAACACTGGGACTTAAATCCTTAACACACAACACTGGGACTTAAATCCTCAACACACAACACTGGGACTTAAATCCTCAACACACAACACTGGGACTTAAATCCTTAACACACAACACTGGGACTTAAATCCTTAACACATAACACTCAGACTGAAGTCCTGAACACATAACACTGGGACTTAAATCCTTAACACATAGCACTGGGACTTAAATCCTTAACACACAACACTGGGACTTAAATCCTTAACACATAACACTGGGACTTAAATCCTTAACACATAGCACTGGGACTTAAATCCTTAACACATAACACTGGGACTTAAATCCTTAACACACAACACTGGGACTTAAATCCTTAACACACAACACTGGGACTTAAATCCTCAACACACAACACTGGGACTTAAATCCTCAACACACAACACTGGGACTTAAATCCATAACACATAACACTGGGACTTAAATCCTTAACACACAACACTGGGACTTAAATCCTTAACACACAACACTGGGACTTAAATCCTTAACACACAACACTGGGACTTAAATCCATAACACACAACACTGGGACTGAAATCCTCAACACACAACACTGGGACTTAAATCCATAACACATAACACTGGGACTTAAATTCTTAGCACATAACACTGGGACTTAAATCCTCAACACACAACACTGGGACTTAAATCCTCAACACATAACACTGGGACTTAAATCCTCAACACATAACACTGGGACTTAAATCCATAACACATAACACTGGGACTTAAATCCATAACACACAACACTGGGACTTAAATTCTTAGCACATAACACTGGGACTTAAATCCTCAACACACAACACTGGGACTTAAATCCTCAACACATAACACTCAGACTGAAGTCCTGAACACATAACACTGGGACTGAAGTCCTGAACACATAACAGTGGGACTTAAATCTTCCTACTTTTTTGGTCGGTGTAGTACTTTCAAAAAGATATAGAAACTAGCCACTTCTCTTTACGGTTCAGAATCACGATATCGTCGACCAATTTTATTGGGAAGGAGAGAAGTCAAACACAGATAGCATTTTATAGATTTTAATGGATGCTGATATCATTATGTATTAGATTTAGTTTAACATGTATCAATCTCTCACACTGAGATCATGGTATAAAAAAACATGATGTCATTACTTTATTTAACATCTGGACAAATAAATGTTGGCACACGACATGTGTTAGTTGTAATCTTTTCAGCTTGTTTGGTGAGCCAGTATTGATATTAATAAGGGTTGGCTGCAAATAATAGATTCCACTTCCGTTGTAATATTCTGATAAAATGGTAACGAGTTATCTACGGCAAAACACGACGAGAGTCGAAAATGCTACAGAACAGAGAGAGTTTATTCAAATACTTTTTATTCCATACATTCAGCTTGTGGCACAACAATGTCGTTGCTATGGTTATATCATCAACAAAGTTCATTGTAAACAGTGTCCTCGAACGATGAAGGCTGTATTAAATGATGCCGGTCACACAATATTATAGAAAATTACATGAAATGTTGGCGGTATGGTAAATAGTAGCTGTGGACATTTTAACGATTGCTATTTGTCCTTGCCAAAGAGGAACATAATAACAGAGCTGGTAAAATCAATACATGATTATAAAGGTATGGTCTCCCATCAATTTACACCTTCAACAAAGGTATGGTATACACATCAGTTCACACCTTCAGCACCGATAGGTTGGATAAACATGAAAACCGTTATTTATGCAGCTTCATTAGCTTAACGAGTCGTTGATTTGATAGGTAAAGTTTCTGGATACTATTTTCTCCTATTTTTAGGTTTAACGTAAACGATGCTCCAAGCTTTTTTTTTGAGTGGTTAGCATACATTAGCCTGCTTTAAGTGAACACTGCGTTATCCATGACAATCAATGCTACCATTAAACGGATTAGTGTTTATACATTTCCGTCACTGTATCAGTTTAGATCTGAAGATCGGTCTTTGTACTGTGGATAATCCCCAATCCCGGGGGACGGTATCAACTGTCTCTTATTCATGCCCAGCTTCCTAAACGTAGAGCGAAATCAGATGTATAGAAACGGTACGATCCGTTTTAGAATGGAAATGATAGTCTCGCATTTATATCGCATGCTATTCAGCTGTTAAAGTGATCGACTTGCGTGTTAAGCACGTAATCATGTTCAGTCGATCTCTCGAGCGCTTCTTTCTCTTAGAAGCCGGAAGCTGCCTTCAAAGAGCGTACCGGAAGTGCTCTATATGACACCCATTAACAGTGTAGTTGTTTCTATAGTTTGAATGTGTCGATATTAGACAAAAAGGCTGGGACGTCGTATACACTGTGTATTACTGTAGATCTAGTATATATATGGACATGATCAAAAATAGTAAACGTTTTGTAAATTATTGCGTTGTAAACATGACATCTTTGTTGCAAAATGTTAAAAAAAAAACATTTTTACCAATAATATGAAATAGCTTCATTTTGAAAAAAACGGTATTTACACTAATAGAAATTACAATGCGGGTATGATCATTAATGGGAGTACAAGTACGAGCATAGGAACATTTTATATAAGTTCTTTCTCTAATCTTTGGCATGGAGCAAGTATATAGGTATTATTTAGAGCCCGAGATTAACATGAGGGTGTCGTTTACATTTCTTCCGATGCCATTAGTTGCCATGGGAACCATTCCAGTAAAGAATTCTCGATTAAAGACAATTCACTTTTCTTGTCTCAGGATGAGAAAAAGCCACTTGAGACATCAACATCGATTTTTTTTCGTTTTCATTTACCTTTACGCTTGTGTTGTGACTAAAGCATTGCTTGGTGACCTTTGAGCAATTCACTCAGTCATCGATAAGCTATACATTTTTATCCGTTTCGTGTTTTTCATCGTCTTTTATCGGACAAGAAAATATATGCAATGAGTTCTGTTTCTGATGTTAAATTTCACGTTATATCCAACGAGTTGATATGAGGTTTTTTGCAGTGAGAGTGAAGCACTCTTATTATATTGTAACCTGTTGTCATCGCTATGTAAGAGAACGTCGATGGACCGTTCAGTCTGAAATCAAATATCTTTTTTTTTTGTTTTTGTTTTGTTTTTGTGTTTGAGGGTGGGGGTGGGGGGATTTACATCAATACTGAGGTAAAATTCACGAGGTTTTTATGTGAATAAATGATTAAAGCAAGATATACACGTTTTCTCTTTAGTATGAACTGTCATTGTAAGTCATTATCTTATTTACATTAAATAGCATGCGGCGGACCTCCTTATGTTGTTTAGTAAGGTAGCTACATTTTACTTTAAAACGTCCCTCCTCAGTTTTGTCTTGGCTGTTTCATGGGAGATAAACCTAACAAACATCCACCACGAATATTTTTTATTTAAATAAGATATATTTAATCATACCTCTTTTTTGCTTTTTGAGGAGGCATTTTCTCCAACAGATCTCTAAACATGGCCTTAACATGATCTATATATGATCTTTACATGATCTAAACACGACCTTAACATGACCTTAACATGATCTATATATGATCTTTACATGATCTAAACAAGACCTTAACATGACCTTAACATGACCTTAACATGATCTATATATGATCTTTACATGACCTTAACATGACCTTAACATGACCTTAACATGATCTATATATGATCTTTACATGATCTAAACATGACCTTAACATGACCTTAACATGATCTATATATGATCTTTACATGATCTAAACAAGACCTTAACATGACCTTAACATGATCTATATATGATCTTTACACGATCTAAACACGACCTTAACATGACCTTAACATGACCTTAACATGATCTATATATGATCTTTACATGATCTAAACACGACCTTAACATGACCTTAACATGATCTATGTATGATCTTTACATGATCTAAACAAGACCTTAACATGATCTATATATGATCTTTACATGATCTAAACACGACCTTAACATGACCTATATATGATCTATATATGATCTTTACATGATCTAAACACGACCTTAACATGACCTTAACGTGATCTATATATGATCTTTACATGATCTAAACATGACCTTAACATGACCTTAACATGATCTATATATGATCTTTACATGATCTAAACATGACCTTAACATGATCTATATATGATATTTACATGATCTAAACAAGACCTTAACATGGCCTTAACATGACCTTAACGTGATCTATATATGATATTTACATGATCTAAACAAGACCTTAACATGACCTTAACATGATCTATATATGATCTTTACATGATCTAAACATGACCTTAACATGATCTATATATGATATTTACATGACCTTAACATGACCTTAACATGATCTATATATGATCTTTACATGACCTTAACGTGATCTATATATGATATTTACATGATCTAAGCAAGACCTTAACTTGGCCTTAACGTGATCTATATATGATCTTTACATGATCTATATATGATCTTTACATGACCTTAACATGATATATATATGATCTTTACATGATCTATATATGATCTTTACATGACCTTAACATGATCTATATATGATCTTTACACGATCTAAACACGACCTTAACATGACCTTAACATGACCTTAACATGATCTATATATGATCTATATATGATTGTGGTTATGGTTATGATTCAATGTTGTAATCTCATTCCATCACATAATACCGAATCTGTAAATACAACATACATTAAACAATATGTAATTTATACATTTATACATTACGCTTATGTCATTATAAATATTTTCATGGTTATCTCCCTTTAGGAAAATCGGGTTGTATTAACCGCCATCACACGAGGTCACCAGGATAAAAGGGTGATGGCTGGCCTCCTGTTATCTCTGGTTTTCTCTGGTGTAGTTTTCGATCAGAATTTGGTGTTTTGTTACGTGATTAACTATATTGTTCATCTTATTATCGTTACAGAGCCGCAGTACGCTCTCCGAGTTTGGGGTCAAGTGATCGTGACCTTTGCCGTATTTTTCTGCATCATTGGATTCACCTGTGTCACGTTGAGCTGTCGTCTGCCACGACACAAAAGACGCTTCAACCTTGGATCCGCAATTGCGTTTGTGTCTTCAGGTAATTATATGTAAATGTATCCGACTTTGGAATTATAATTAGAAATTAGAATTTCAAATAGAAAGTTAAGATAAATCTCCAGACACCGTGACACTTTATCAAAGTTTTTTTCGTCTTTTATCTTTTATCTTTGAAAAAATTAGTAAATTCGCATATTTATTAAGGTTTTGGATAAATTAGTAAAAGTATGTGAATGTGCTCGCTTCATTTGGATCGGAGATTGCTATTTTGAGAGGTGCTATTCACCCTGTGTATTTGTGAAATCTTTGAGATTGCAAGTGGAAGATAATGCTGGTGAATTTTTTAGTCCGTAAGGTCAATTCATACGAAATATACGCATGTCATTGACGTTAAGTTACGAAATTCATTGAAATATGGGACCAGATCCTTATCTAGATTTTAACTTTTTTTTGTTATGGTCACTTAGAATTTTCTTCAGTCGCCTCCTAAGTTTAAAGTTTAGATCCTTAGTTTCACTGACGAGTCCTAGAAGGACGAAACAGCTGTATAATGTAACATCTCTGACGAGTCCTTGAAGGACGAAACAGCTGCATGATGTAACATCTCTGACGAGTCCTTGAAGGACGAAACAGCTGTATGATGTAACATCTCTGACGAGTCCTAGAAAGTCGAAACAGCTGTATGATGTAGCATCACTGACGAATCCTTGAAGGACGAAACATCTGTATGATGTAACATCTCTGACGAGTCCTTGAAGGACGAACAGCTGTATGATGTAACATCTCTGACGAGTCCTAGGAGAACGAAACAGCTGTATGATGTAACATCTCTGACGGGTCCTAGAAGAACGAAACAGCTGTATAATGTAACATCTCTGACGAGTCCTTGAAGGACGAAACAGCTGTATGATGTGATATCTCTGACGAGTCCTTGAAGGACGAAACAGCTGTATGATGTAGCATCACTGACGAGTCCTAGAAGGACGAAACAGCTGTATGACGTACAAGATACAAGATATTTTATTTTCTGTCGTATACAATGAATTATGTAACATCAGCTCAGAGGAGCTATTATGACGACTTTTGCCTTTCTGTCCCAAGTCATAAGACACTTACCATGTTATCTATGTATCATGCAACAATAATTGAAAATCCGACTATTGATTTGTTCTTCAATCCAAGTTTACCTGACATTGACGTTACGCTGAACTTTGCCTGATGACGGACGCCAGAATAATTGCTCCGCGCGGAAATATAGTTCCAAACTTCATCGGATGTAACTGCGATTTTGTTAATTTTCATCAATTAACTTGTTCATTACAACATGTAAAATCGCCTACTTCAACAACTTTTTATGTTTTTAAACGTAATATTTAAGTAATTTCAGTGAGTAATTCTGTCGAATTACCGTGCGTGCTAAAATATAGCCGTCTCTGCCAAATACATCAAAATATAATTGGCAGGTGTATTTCAACAATGGCGGCGCCAGTTGCAGGATAAAAAGTTTTATAGGGTGAATACATTTGGAATGGGGTTTTAAACTATGTTGAAAATAAGGATAAGGTCTTGTTCGATATACTAGTACGTAGCTTCTTTGATAGATATAACATTGTAAATGCGATGTTATACGTAGCCGATTTACCTCGTCGGAGGTTTGTGGGATCGGTACAGTTCAGGAGCGCGACGATACTGCATCATTATTAACGGCAGATAGTGTTATATCATAGACAACAAAATGAGCAACGGCAGGCGACGTTAGAATTTTGTTTGAAACTTTCTCAAAGATTTCTGCCGTGACGCAGCCGGAGCGAGCAGCGGGACTTCGTATGACTTCGTTAACTGTCGGCATAGCATCAGCAGCGCCTTGTAATGGGTCAACCATACCGGAAACTATGTGATACCGTAGTCCTGCCGATATGTACCGTTTTGGAGGATACCACACCGCGTGCATCGCTAAAATCCAGGTGTAGGAAAAGTGATTTTCAGTAGCACATTGACTTTCACATCGGCAGGACGGCGATATCACAACGAGAACATAAGTGCAACATCGGCAGTTTTTTTTTTGCGTAATCACGACGAAACTCCGCCGATTTTCTCGCCGTTGTGTTCCGATTTAGTCCAACCGAGATACATCGCTAGTGTAACAGGCTTTAAAAGTTTCGAATGCTCTCTATAAGTACATTTTGTTACATTTATTAGTCTTTCAGAATAGACTGTCAATTAAATAATTGAATTGGTCAGCGCCTTCCTGGAAGTAAAGATGAAGTTATCATTTTCTGCAGACAGTTAAGTGTCATTTCCTTTACTCGCACAGTTGACGACGTCATTCAATTTCTATTCCTCGATGTTACAGACAGATTTTCTATTTGGAAATGCGAATATTTCCACCAGATGATAACTTTGTAAACATATGTGCGAGTTCACCACCGTACACACCTGATTCGTTTCTCCAATCGTGTAAACTTGGTTAATCCTGGTGACAAGTAAAAAGGTTTTTGATTGCATCCCGCAATAAACCGTCCGGACTAATTGAGACTGAATACGGAAATGGGATAAAAGGACATTGCCAACATCTCGTTAGATTGGTTATTGTCGGAAAAGCCTTTCATCTACCGGTGTTGTCGCGTAGGTATTCGGTGCGAACATTTCTGGTCTTTTTACGACGTTAATAGACACCATATGACGTCTCCGCTGTGAAAAGTAGTCCACAGGATGTAACACTGCTGTTTTGCAGCAGAGATTCGGCACTGTAAGCTGCAAACTCTGGTATTAAACTATAATTAGAGAAAATCTGAAACTCCGATTTTAATTTCCTGTTGAAACGACGATCGATAAATATTTGTCGCAGCTTAATTGTGTGTGTCTAATGGCCGCCTTACCACCATCTCGTGCCAGCTCTTGAAGGGAAACTACGTCAAATGCGAAGACTGTCCTCAGATAGCTTTCAATTATCGGCTTTCTACAGAACATGGCAGGCGCTTTCCGCCATTTTATGACTCTCCATTTGCCAAAATGTCATATAACTTTTAAAGTCTTTTGTATATGGCGACACTTAGTAAAATTTCTCGTGGTATAGAACTGTATAACAGGAGTCTAATTGTGTATCAACCTATTTTTGGTAGAAGTTTGAAAACTGTTAAAGGGCTGTTAGTTTATTTCTCTCCTTCGAGTGAAGGAATGTGTGGTCGACATGATAAATGTAATACATTATTTTCAACGATTAAAGTTGAAATCGTGAATCATGGTCTTTTTCAGTGAGGTTTTGTTTTGAGCTAGCACTGTTTTCGAATATTTTTTACATTCCGTATTCCCTCCAATCTACTCACTATCGTGCTGTTATTATTCAGTCGAATGCAGAAAGTCATTCTGAAAAATGTAATAAAAGATGTTCATTTTCCTGCATAATAACAAATAAAAAGAAAAAACAAAAACAAAAAAAAAAAAAAACAATGAATAAATAAACAGAAAATGAAACTACAAATGTGTCGAAGTCATCTTAATCCGTTGTAGAATTATATATTATTAAGTTTCAGTCTTTGAATTTGATAGGGGCCCTCTTAGACTTTTAGTCACTAAAATTAGCTCACCAGGTGTGCGAGGGATCATTTCTGTGAAATTAACATAATATCATAGAGTGGGATTTCATGCCAAGGCATCCAGGTTATTACATTCAGTGTGATAGCACTATAAAAGTTTCTTTACCAGACCCTGCCCCCACCCACATCCCGCCAATGAATTGATAACAATTTTAACGTAATATGACCAGAGACACTGAGTTAGATATACAAACTTTTTATAGTTTGTGCTGTTTTTAGGTGGACTGTACAAATGACTTGTTTCTGCTAGGAAATGCTGACTCAGCGGCTCTTCATATGAAATCACGGTTTTTTTTCTTGTGATTTTTGTGTTATGGTATGGAAATTTTCGATAGCTAATGTTTTAAAAGGCACCAAAGTTGACAGCTTTATACTGATTGAATGTCGTAACGCCGAGGTGTTTGGAAAAAATAGTACTGAGTGTTTTCCACGGTAAGACACGAAGCAAAACGTACGGATTGATTATCAACTCTGAATACAGAGATAAAAAATATCAGTTTTTGTTAATTGAATTTTTATGACTGTGTTTTTATATCCAGTTATCATTAAATTTCTGGAATGGTCACCACCTAAACGAGAATGAGAAGAGAGAGAACGAGAGCTTTTTGTCACACAAATTATATTTGGAAAAATCCTAGAAGGAAAATGCAGGTTCTCCGTCAGAAAGGCATCTTTCTAATTAACGTTTGAAAATTAAAACAGATGATGGCACACAGACTCGCTCCATATTGGGTTGCATAACAAACGTGGACCCATTAGCAAAATTCCTAGTGTTTAATGGGATCTGCAACCGAGGAGTTTTCCTTTTTTCTATCTAAAAATCGATTTGAAGACTCGCAACAGAAATGTCGTGCTTGTTCACTACAAGACAAGTAGAAGCAACAAGGGATATTAGCCAGTTTCTTGGCTTGACAATCAGTAATCAAAAAGAAAAAATATTAGGTTTTCAGGAAATTAAAAACCGGCAGAGTTTGTGACAAAATACCGACTCTACAAAATATCAAGATTGAGTCGCCATCTAATATATAAGGTCAAAAAAACATATGTTCAGTAATAACTGTTACCAGATTGTATTTTGTTTCCATGGTAACAGCTTTGTATTTTGATAAAAAGAAATATCAAAAAGCTACTCAAATATGTGCTCTTTTGCTAACAAAACGAATCAAAACGAGATTTTCACATCAAAACTCAGACAGCAGAAAATCTGACCCGTCACAAAGATGGAGATGAGGATATTATTTCAACAGGTAATGTGATCAGACAACATGAATGTGATTAGACAACATGTAATGGGAAGGTTTTGTTTATGTGTTTGGTTTTAATCTGAAAACGAAGAAAAATAATCCGTGCATCACATGGTAATTATATTTACAATGCAACTGACACTATTAAAGGAACCCATTGTCATTTCTTTCACGAACGGACAGCAGGGCACTACTGATAGAGTTTGTCATGAGCCTTTGATCATAGTAGAATTGTAAAGTGGGGGCAATCGATATACAACCCAGAAAATCACCATCCGCGAGTATGACGTCATATTTTAAGGACTTTGGGATACGTCATCTCCCGATAAAAACACTGCCTTCTCAGAGGAGATTCATTCTGTGGAGAATATCAAAAGAGTTTCCATGAAACGTTATCATTAGAACTTATTAACTTATAAAATTTGGGAAAAAAAGAAAAATTGTACAGTAGGTATTGAGTTTTTAGTCATATTTTGCTTTAACAACGTCTTGTGGGGAAAAAAATTTCAGACGAAAAGTTTATCTCTGTATGGCAATGCTTCGATTAAATGTATAAGAATTGTGTTTTAAAGGTCAAAGAATGTCATCAAGCGTTTGACCAACGTCATTAGTTGGATTTAAAACGGTGACGGCTCACCGTCGTACAAGTGGCTGTTCTACTTTACGGAAAACTCTGTCGATAGAGAATGATGTCTTATTTAAATCAAATTATTATCGAGGTAAGACAGCAGTATAAGGTTGAGGACCTTGATCATTGTTATGGCGGATAGAATTGACAGAGTGGTGCAGACAAGCACAACATTTCTCTCTGGTATGCTACTCCGTCGTACGCTGAAACAGTCATCGTTCGATTATCTTAACGAGGACAAAAAACCTTAAAGTTCAACCAATCATTTCAGCGGAGAAATGACAGTGAAACTAGTATTGTAAAGGTGTTTCAAATATTGCAACTCCTCGTTCTTCCGACCGTCTTATTGACGATGCTGTGAAAAATAAATCACAAATTTCAATGTTTTAAAAACCAAACTGATTAATAAAATTCACTTCAATTGAACATTTTCTTTCTGGATTTCTAGGACTCGGTTTCATGATTAGTCACCGATGCTGTTCCAATGTCATCTGACCCCAATTCAAAAGAAAACAGAGCGTGTTCTGGCGTTTGGAATTAAATTGAGAAATGGAGATTAGATTAAATTATAGGGCGCTTTTGTCGATTTTCTAATTTTGCAATCAATCTGGAAGAAAAATGAATTAGTTTCCATGACAACGGTTCCGATCATTTTCCTTTCTTTTCCTCCATATTATCTGTAGTAATGTGATTATATAACACGTGTAATATGAAGAGACTGTTGAAGCAGAGGTCCATGTTGTAGGACATCCACAAACATGACATTGATACTGCTGATATTTTCTACAGATAAACCAACAGTTTGTTATTTTTGGCTATGAGCTGGATAACCGGATTAACGGCGCTGTTATATATAAGATACTTTCCACCCTACGATATTAGCAGTGAGGAAGGTTTTCTCACATACGTTTCAGAGTGATCCTGTGGTTGCTAGGAATGGGGTAACGCTTTCTTTTTACGCTGGACAGGCATTTCTCACCGTAGGATTGAGATTGACCAGGGGTATTACTTTGTTGGTACAATAATATGACGTCACAATTTACAATGATATGACGTCACAATAAGCAATTATATGACGTAACAATTAACAATGATATGACGTCACAATTTACAATGATATGATGTAACAATTAATAATGACATGACGTCACAATTAACAATGAATGACGTCACTATTAATCGCCACAATTAACAATGATATGACGTCGAAGCACTGGGGCAACAACAAAAATCATGATAGAACCTAATAAAGCCAGCAGATTAAGAGAGAAGTAATGCACACTTTGTTGGTGAAATGGGGATCTAATCCTGGGGAAAACTTGATAAGCCTCATGTTTGCTAATTTAATCTTCTTTTCCCTCGGTTTGTAATTCGCCTGTTTCACCTCCCAGGGTATAAAAGATTCTGTTAACCCCTGTTTCTGTGGCGTAATATTCATACTGAGAGGATGATTGTCTTCTTTTTGGTGTCTGTACCTTTTTGAACTGCAAAGTCTATAGAAGTAATGAATGATACACAGGATCTCCATCTGAAAGTCTTTTTCTCTGTTTACAATGCCTGTAGGGAATGTTTGTGCAGTTATATACACTGAAGCAATCAAGGTAGAGTGTTTTCTCTTAAGATAGGACTCGTCTCTGCTACCAAGAGTGCGTAACTGACCTTTCGTGTAAAGTCATTCACCCCCATTGAGAGAATGCATTCACTTACTCTTCTTCTTGTGTTTTTCAGGCTTCCTTATGCTGTCCGTAATAGGACACTGGACAGCGGACCTAAGTACGTATGCGCGCATCCGCTTGGACAATTCCCGTAACATATACCACTTCCCGTGGTCCCTTCTTGTTGGGGGCTTAGGAGGGGTCCTCGCTCTGGCTGTCGGGGCAACCAAACTGCTGTTACTGTGTGCTGAGCTCCAGCCTGGGGATGAAGGCCCGGGAGATAATACATACATCCCAATGACGCAACAGAATTCTGTACCTGCCCCGGGGGTTCCAGTAGAGGAAGGGGTCACATACCCACCACAGCCTGAATCATTTCACAAGGGTGGGGAATTTTCTTCATCTGACAGCTACAAGGCGGAGTATCCCTCCCTAGAGACGGGAAAATCACAACTTATCACCCAGTGTGACCAACAAAACCACCAGAATGAATGCAGTGTAAAATGCATGCTCTAACTAAAGGACAACACATTGTTGTCGTGATTTGCTCACGTGTCCAAAATCTTGCTAGTCACGACCAGTATCGTGTGCAAATGTGCAGCGGAAGTGACGTGTAAAGTATTGTGTTTATGGTAACCAAAACTGAACTTTGGGTGAACAAAACGCACTTTGTATATGCTTTTGAACATGACATTTAAACAATCTACGGAAAAAACCAACCCATGTACAAGGCGGATTTGACGTCAACAATTTTCAGTGCCCGGAAATAGTATTTGGTGTTACCTGTGAGATTCTGGAACTAATAGCGGCTGTTTTCTAAAACTGGTTGTGAAATCATATCGTTTTGTCCAGACTTCATGACCCCGATCATTTGTCTAAAATGATGAGAACAAATCCTAAAGTGTTCATGTTAGATCTTGAATGACTGTCTATTTTTATGCTGTGCTTGTGTAAATGACGTGATAATATTGAAATTTCACACTAAGTTTTAGTGCTATACAAATGTTACCTTCTAATTACATACAACTATATATGTCTAATCATACAGCTTTTCATCATACATGACAAACGCTTTTCAGACCATGACTGTCTTTTTCGTTTTCACATCGATGGAGTGTTGCTACCAACTCCACATGATTACATCGTTTGTGATGTTTATTGTATTGTGATACAAAAGTGTCAATAACAGAGCTGATTTGAATGGAGTGATGTTCTGTCTGCTGTTTCCTGTGTGAACCTATTTACTTCCCAATGTGTCATAGATTGACTTAAATTAGGTTTAACCTGATTTTTGTAAAGTTCATCCTCTCAAAGTACACAGAACTCTAAATCATCCTGCAAAGTGCATATTTTTTTTCAATTTTAATTTAATATTCTTCCACATTGAGATCCATAAAGCACTTGCTTTCCTTGTGTTGTCATAGAACTAAGGTTTATCTTGTTGTAGGAGTTGTCTTGAAAATATCAAGCGACAAGAACATTAACCAAAAGGAGAATGTGTATGGTTTTATCTCATAGTGACTTGTTTAAACCAGAATATTGAATAGTTGTGGAATCAAATTGATCACAATTTTACAAACTTTTATGGATAACGTCATGGTTCATTGATGGCGATAGACATGTGAAGTTGATGTCATTCATGAATCTTTATTTTTGTTAAGTTTTTTTCCCTCCCGCACAAAGTGTGATTTAATTTCACATTTCCATTTGTTTTTAAAGGAAAGCTATTCTAACTTTAGATATTAAACATGGTGGGATTGGACACATCATCTTTTCTTAAAATTTTCAATACAAACCCATCCATTTATCTGTTTCTAACTTTAGATCTCCTCCATTTATCTGTTTCTGACTTTAGATCTCCTCCATTTATCTGTTTTTGACATTACAACTCACCCATTTATCTGTTTTTGACATTACAACTCACCCATTTATCTGTTTTTGACATTATAACTCACCCATTTATCTGATTTTGACATTACAACTCACCCATTTATCTGATTTTGACATTACAACTCACCCATTTATCTGTTTTTGAAATTACAACTCACCCATTTATCTGTTTTTGACATTACAACTCACCCATTTATCTGATTTTAAAAATTAGATTTATGCTATTGATAGGGTAAGAAATATTTACCAAACCATTTGTTGTTATTTCATATTTCCATCTTTACAAACTCTAGAGATTTTATTTTGCTTTGTTTTAAATTATATGGAACTGATGAATGTTAACAATCATCCTACATTTTGATGAGATTTAGTTTTCGTCTACTAGGTCTTAACAAGGGAAAATGTTTGAAAAAAAGTCAAAAGTCAAATTCACGAAATGCTTGAAATGACATCCTCAATTTTCCATCATCACTTTAGCCCTGTCTATTTACTTTATTGGGAATTACGTTGCCTAGGTTAATGTGTGTTATGTTAGAGTGTACATTACGTTAATGTATGTGTGTTATGTCAATGTGTGTGTTGTGTTAGAGAGTGTGATATGTCAATGTGTGCGTTGTGTTAGAGAGTGTGTGTTGTGTTAGAGAGTGTGTTATGTCAATGTGTGTGTTGTGTTAGAGAGTGTTTTATGTTCGAGTGTGTTTTGTCAATGTGTGTGTTAAGTTAGAGAGTGTTTTATGTTCGAGTGTGTTTTGTCAATGTGTGTGTTAAGTTAGAGAGTGTTTTATGTTCGAGTGTGTTTTGTCAATGTGTGTGTTAAGTTAGAGAGTGTTTTATGTTCGAGTGTGTTTTGTCAATGTGTGTGTTAAGTTAGAGAGTGTTTTATGTTCGAGTGTGTTTTGTCAATGTGTGTGTTAAGTTAGAGAGTGTTTTATGTTCGAGTGTGTTTTGTCAATGTGTGTGTTAAGTTAGAGAGTGTTTTATGTTCGAGTGTGTTTTGTCAATGTGTGTGTTAAGTTAGAGAGTGTTTTATGTTCGAGTGTGTTTTGTCAATGTGTGTGTTAAGTTAGAGAGTGTTTTATGTTCGAGTGTGTTTTGTCAATGTGTGTGTTAAGTTAGAGAGTGTTTTATGTTCGAGTGTGTTTTGTCAATGTGTGTGTTAAGTTAGAGAGTGTTTTATGTTCGAGTGTGTTTTGTCAATGTGTGTGTTAAGTTAGAGAGTGTGTTATGATAGAGAGAGTGGGTTATGTCAATAGATGTTCTATGTCAATGTTATGTTAAGTTTGTTTTGTATGTATTATGTTGGTGTATGTATTATTTGTGGTGTGATATGATAGCGCATATGTTATGTGTGTGTTATGTTAGTGTATGTATTATTTGTGGTGTGATATGATAGCGCATGTGTTATGTGTGTGTGTTATGTTAGTGTATGTGTTATTTGTGGTGTGATACGATAGCGCATGTGTTATGTGTGTGTTATGTTAGTGTATGTATTATTTGTGGTGTGATACGATAGCGCATGTGTTATGTGTGTGTTATGTTAGTGTATGTGTTATTTGTGGTGTGGTATGATAGCGCATGTGTTATGTGTGTGTTATGTTAGTGTATGTATTATTTGTGGTGTGATATGATAGCGCATGTGTTATGTGTGTGTTATGTAAGTGTATGTGTTATTTGTGGTTAGATATGATAGTGTATGTATTATATTATTGTATGTGCTCGATGTTTACTGTCCCACTGACAATTTTTCATCATTACTCATCAAGACGAAAACTATCTCTGTCCATATTATTTTATATTTTTTTCTGGAGGGATATTTTAGAAAAAAATAGTAACATTTTTTCATTACGTAGTAATATTTTTATGCATTTTTCATCCGTTTATTATATGTTCAATATTTATTTTTTAATTATTTTCATAAGGAAGATCTGTGGGTTTCTGTTACCTTTACTTAAAAACAAAAGAAAGAGAAATGAAAGAAGGAAGAAACAGAATCAACAACTTGATTGGGAAAGAAATGTTTCCATGCACTTCGATTCAAAACATGTTTCGTTCAAATTTTAAAACTTCCAAGGATAAGCCGAATCTTATGACTGCTGACTTTTCATTCTTTTTGGGTTTTTCGGTTTTTATTTTTACGTTTTTGAGATTCCAATCTTACCCTTAATTTTGTTTGCCTCAAAACACGTCATTTTCAATGTTTGTAATATAAAGATGAACATATCTTATTATCGCTCATTGAAATTTGTTCTTGTCTTAAATATTGAAAAGTGTTATTTTTAATATCTTTTTATAAACAAAATTAATTATGATAAAATGTATAGTCTTATATATCTCATTCCCTTAATGATTTTTTTTCAAATATCCGTTTAGATATTGTTTACTTTTTCCATGTCTGATACGGGAAACATTTAAACCATGATTGTTAACCCAAACACCTTACTGTATGTCTATGTATACCTTTACAATTTACCATTCCATATTTGTTTCCCGTTTCCATTGAACCAAGTGCCAGTGACCTATATTCCATACCATGCCACCTAGAGGGATTGTGTTGGAGAGATAAACCTTTTGAATTATTTTCTGGGCTGTTTAAATTTTTGTAACTATTTTAGTCAATGATGTGACAGCAACATAGGAAGGGTTCACTTCCAAAAAATTAGATCCAGTTCTTGTCTTGATAGCATCTTCCACGGAGATAAAAATCTCTGTATTATCTAAGACCATGTTTAAAAACTTTCAAAATTGATGATTTCACAAAAAAGTTACTTCCTCTCATTTTGGTGGAATTCAATGTATTATGTTCAGAGCAGCAACTCCGGAATACAAGGATCCCTCTATTTGTTCAGTAACTAATGCATTTCCAAGATATACAAACATCCATATCCCCAATTTAGTTCCCGAATTCTAATCTCCACACAGTCCCCCTTTGACATCCTTCCAGATATTTTCTCTAATAATGAAAATCGCCTATTTTTCGCGTTTTCATTACCAGATGTAAGGCTTAAAGTTTGTATCGAATTAAGCTTGTCTGCTCCTGCTTTCGATAATCTTTTTTTTCAGTTTATGAGGTCCACGTGCTTGAACATATCAAATAAATGATAAAAAGCAGTGTTATGTAGAAATGTTAAAGAATTCAGACTTTTAAATGGGAAATGTAACCACGAAATTATATCATAACAACAATGAAGAAAAACTTTCCAGTCACTTTCTAAGTTATAAATCAATAACGGATTGTTAAAATTAATTGTGGTTATTATCTAAACAAAAACAAGAACTACAATGCTGCGAACAATATTTGATCCTCAGTATGTGATTAATTCATTCCATACATCAACTACTGTGTGTGTTTGTCACGTGTTATCTCATTGTCAAGTGACGATCGATGTTTTGTTGATATTCAGTGGAAAATATAAGGTGAGCTGATATCGAATCTTCGAATTACTGGGTTCGGATTTATCGATATTTCACTGAATATTTTTATGTAAGGGAGATAACTCTCGTAAAGTTTGTCGCAATTACGATCGAATTCCATGTAATGGAACACTATTATTTTTGTTTGTTTAACACACAATTTCATCAATGTAAGCCGATATATCCGAGTTATTATGAATAAAATGCTCAGTATGGTTTGCAAAAAATTGCATAATTTTGTTTGTTGTCATTTTTTCACTAAGATATTATATTATGATATACGTTTCGCCCCTTTATGTATCAAACGTATAACCTATATTGACCTCGTTACATGAGAATATCCTGCCAAATTTAGAATCTACAAACCGTAATATGATAAAACTACGAAAACTTTGACGCTTGATCAGCTGGGATAGTTTCTGGGATAAAATGTTCTGAATCATTCAATTATCAGATTCAGAAAATGTTTATTAGACAAAACTCGGTTAGAGACGGCAAAAAGTCGTTTGTACTAGTAATAGACTGTCATAAGATGTCTGGAGTAACAAAATAACTTAAATACCAGAAACCACTTCTATCGGAGGGGAATAATTATATAGCTCACTTACTTATTAGGAAATGTTTTACTCCTTTGGGTTTGTTAGGAATAAAACCACGGCTACCTCCTACAAACAGCGGAGAGTCGGGGATGTTATCGCTGACTGTACAGAAACACAAGTTAGTTCCCTTCATAGATACCGATTTTGTGATTGGTCAAATACCGGAAACGAATCCAGCGAGTACAACATTAGACACAATCGAGTACAGAATTGAATACAATCGAGTACAGAATTGAACACAATCGAGTACAGCATTTGACACAATCGAGTACAGCATTGGACACAATCGAGTACAGCATTTGACACAATCGAGTACAGCATTTGACACAATCGAGTACAGCATTGGACACAATCGAGTACAACATTAGACACAATCGAGTACAGCATTTGACACAATCGAGTACAGCATTGGACACAATCGAGAACAGCATTGGACACAATCGAGTAAAACATTGGACACAATCGAGTACAGCATTGGACACAATCGAGTACAGAATTGAACACAATCGAGTACAGCATTTGACACAATCGAGTACAGCATTGGACACAATCGAGAACAGCATTGGACACAATCGAGTACAGCATTGGACACAATCGAGTACAACATTGGACACAATCGAGTACAGCATTGGACACAATCGAGTACAGCATTGGACACAATCGAGTACAGCATTGGACACAATCGAGTACAACATTGGACACAATCGAGTACAGCATTGGACACAATCGAGTACAGCATTGGACACAATCGAGTACAGCATTGGACACAATCGAGAACAGAATTGGACACAATCGAGTACAGAATTGAACACAATCGAGTACAGCATTGGACACAATCGAGTACAGCATTGGACACAATCGAGTACAGCATTGGACACAATCGAGTACAGAATTGAACACAATCGAGTACAGCATTTGACACAATCGAGTACAGCATTGGACACAATCGAGTACAGAATTGAACACAATCGAGTACAGCATTTGACACAATCGAGTACAGCATTGGACACAATCGAGTACAGAATTGAACACAATCGAGTACAGCATTTGACACAATCGAGTACAGCATTGGACACAATCGAGTACAGAATTGAACACAATCGAGTACAGCATTGGACACAATCGAGTACAGCATTGGACACAATCGAGTACAGAATTGAACACAATCGAGTACAGCATTTGACACAATCGAGTACAGCATTGGACACAATCGAGAACAGAATTGGACACAATCGAGTACAGCATTGGACACAATCGAGTACAACATTGGAAACACAATCGAGTACAACATTGGACACAATCGAGTACAGCATTGGACACAATCGAGTACAGAATTGGACACAATTTAATCCAGATTTTATTCTATAAATAAATCTTGATGATCCAAACAGTATACAGTTCACGATCAAAAATATGAAACACATATGAAACTTTTGTTGCCATATTCTCTCAAGATATTTATATTTGTTAATTTTTGCTTCCGGAAATTCAGATTTTACCGTTTAGAAAGCTAACTGAATGTAATGATACTTCACTAGTCAGTCCTCTAGTATTTAAGGAAATCGTTGGGGCGATTTACAAATGCAGACCATTTACAAGTTATTTCATCTAATCTTACTTTCATTGTAAATGCTGTGGTCGAACAGGGATCAGATTTAGGTCGTAATCTGTACATATATTTTATATATTAACGTATCTAATATTACAACAGAATCGGTAACAACCTAACGTAAACAGAGTCATTTACGTCATCGACTTCCTCGGATATTTCCGGGAAAAGACGGAATTGTTGAATCTGTCACATGACAAACATTATTAGTCATAAACACAGTTTTCTCGCATCTCAGACAGGAATATCCCACGTAGCGCCCCATCCTAGATTAATAAAATATATTACCTGTAACTTAGCGAGATCGGGGTATCTCAGTCATGGGCTAAATTCCTCGGATTAGTCCACAATCTGAATAATTGCAGTCAGAGGGAGAGGGTCGCCCTTAGGTGAAGACCAGTCCTGAAAACGCAATGGCCAGCAACTCTTGGTGTTGGAGGTCTGTTGGTATTTTTTAGTTTTGATAAATACGGTTATGTGTTACATAGCTTATTGGCTATGTCGTTGACATACTATTAGGATTGGTGGTTGTTGTAAGGTTTTGGGGTTGATGCAGGGCTATAAGTGTCACAATAATCATTTCACGTTTACCTTCCGAATGAGATCTAAGAAATATATGAAACGCGTTTTTTATATAAACAGCTCTTGGTCATTTGCATAGTGAAACGGAAACACAGTTTCCTTTTCAATATGATTAATCTCACGTGTCAAAAGATATCAATTTATAGTTGCCGCAATAATTGACGAAGGGAGGCAACCCGTAGAAAAATGGTAAAACTAAGGGAGTGAACTCTTCCGATACTATACTGCAATGAATTATTTTCATATACGTATTAAGTATGGCGCTTAAACAGCTTGACTAACTTGAACGATTTTCGACTTCCCAGTTTAAGCGTGGCGTTAATAGTTCAGTCAGTTTTAAGCACTGCCATTTCATCTTTTTAATTGTAAAATTAACCTAATTTTATTTCCGTTTAAAGTTGCAACCGGTGACAATGACTTTTTAAAAGAAACAACTATATATATATGTGTACTTTTATCTAGAAATTGACTATAATTTTTCCCCACACAATTCTAACGTATGGGTAACAACTGCCACTACATACCTTTTCAAGTAAAGCAGATAGTCTGTATTTGTCTGACAGTGTCTCTACATCATCAAAAGTTCATATTGGTAAAAGGTATACATCCCAAATCACAAACAACATCGTAAAAAGTTGTAATCAACGGACAATGTCCGAAATGGGTGCAATAAAAAAAGACTGTTAAAAAGATAACAACGTTACTTGTCACTCAAAACAAATATATACTACCGAGAAATGTACACTACCTAGAAACGTACACTACCGAGAAACGTACACTACCTAGAAACGTACACTACCTAGAAACTTTCACTACCTAGAAATATACACTACCTAGAAATATACACTACCTAGAAACGTACACTACCTAGAAACGTACACTACCTAGAAATGTACACTACCGAGAAATATACACTACCTAGAAACGTACACTACCTAGAAACGTACACTACCTAGAAACGTTCACTACCGAGAAACGTACACTACCTAGAAATATACACTACCTAGAAACGTACACTACCTAGAAATATACACTACCTAGAAACGTACACTACCGAGAAATATACACTACCTAGAAACGTTCACTACCGAGAAACGTACACTACCTAGAAACGTACACTACCTAGAAATATACACTACCTAGAAATGTACACTACCTAGAAACGTACACTACCTAGAAATATACACTACCTAGAAATATACACTACCTAGAAACGTACACTACCTAGAAACGTACACTACCGAGAAAAGAACACTACCGAGAAACGAACACTACCTAGAAATGTACACTACCTAGAAACGTACACTACCGAGAAACGTACACTACTGAGAAATATACACTACCGAGAAACGTACACTACCTAGAAACGTACACTACCTAGAAACGTACACTACCGAGAAACGAACACTACCTAGAAACGTACACTACCTAGAAATGTACACTACCGAGAAACGTACACTACCTAGAAACGTACACTACCGACAAACGTACACTACCAAGAAACGTACACTACCTAGAAACATACACTACCTAGAAACTACACTACCTAGAAACGTACACTACCGAGAAACGTTCACTACCGAGAAACGTACACTACCTAGAAACGTACACTACCGAGAAACGTACACTACCGAGAAACCTACACTACCTAGAAACGTACACTACCGAGAAACGTACATTACCTAGAAACGTACACTACCTAGAAACGTACACTACCTAGAAACGTTCACTACCTAGAAACGTACACTACCTAGAAACGTACACTACCTAGAAACGTACACTACCGAGAAAAGAACACTACCGAGAAACGAACACTACCTAGAAATGCACACTACCTAGAAACGTACACTACCTAGAAACGTTCACTACCTAGAAACGTACACTACCTGAAAACATACACTACCTAGAAATGTACACTACCTAGAAACATACACTACCTAGAAACATACACTACCGAGAAACGAACACTACCTAGAAACGTACACTACCTAGAAACGTACACTACCTAGAAACGTACACTACCTAGAAATGTACACTGCCTAGAAATGTACACTACCTAGAAATGTACACTACCTAGAAACATACACTACCTAGAAACGTACACTACCTAGAAACATACACTACCTAGAAACGTTCACTACCTAGAAACGTTCACTACCTAGAAACGTACACTACCGAGAAATATACATTAACAAGAGACAAACACTACCTAGAAACATACCCTACCTAGAAACGTACACTACCTAGAAACGTACACTACCAAGAAACATACACTACCTAGAAACGTACACTACCTAGAAACGTACACTACCGAGAAATATACACTACCTAGAAACGAACACTACCTAGAAACATACCCTACCTAGAAATGTACACTACCTAGAAACGTACACTACCTAGAAACGTACACTACCGAGAAACGAACACTACCTAGAAACATACACTACCTAGAAACGTACACTACCTAGAAACATATCCTACCTAGAAATGTACACTACTTAGAAACATTCACTACCTAGAAACGTACACTACCTAGAAACGAACACTACCTAGAAACATACACTACCTAGAAACGTACACTACCTAGAAACGCACACTACCGAGAAACGAACACTACCTAGAAACGTACACTACCTAGAAATGTACACTACCGAGAAACGTACACTACCGAGAAACGTACACTACCGAGAAACGTACACTACCTAGAAATGTACACTACCTAGAAACGTACACTACCGAGAAACGTACACTACCTAGAAACGTACACTACCATGAAACGTACATTACCTAGAAACGTACACTACCTAGAAACGTACACTACCGGGAAATGTACATTACTGAGAAACATACACTATCGAGAAACGTACACTACCTAGAAACATACACTACCTAGAAACGTTCACTACCTATAAACGTACACTACCTAGAAACGTATATTACCGATAAACGTTCACTACCGAGAAAAGAACATTACCTAGAAACATACACTACCGAGAAACGTATATTACCGAGAAACGTTCACAGCCTGGAAACGTACTCTGCCCAATTTCATATTACGATATTAAATTATTTTCATTTTTAAGTTTTATCATTATACACTAAATTCCTGTTTCCACGGAGATAACAAAACTCATTCAGGGAGAGTATGACAAAATGAATCATATATGTTGTTTAAATCTTCCAAACCACTCACGGAGAATCTTTTAATTCATAATCTTAAACGGAAACATACTTAATGCAGTTGATTAAACACCTCGTGAAATTAATTTCACGAAACTAATCCCAAATTTAAACAAGTCACTTATTTAACATTAGTTGTCATAGTTATATATACATGCAAAAATTGATTAACAAACTCAGAAAACACGTGTTTATGATGCATTTTCAATATGACGCTTGTTATTCTGCTTGAATATTACCTTTTGTCTACCAGTTAATCAATCAGTCATAAGACCAAGATTTGTGCAGTACTGACCGTTTAGTCGTATGGCGATAACTTAAGGTAAAAGAGAAATTCATAAAAAATGGTTAAGTATAACTAATTTCTCATCATTTGAAAATATTGATTGTTGAAGTTTCTTTGGATTCCGATAAATCATTTATCAATCAAAACTATGTTCCCAAGAAAGAATCCAAGTAGAAAGTTTCCGAACAAAACCGGATGTTGACGATGTCAGAAAAATACTGTGTTAAGTCCATTTTGCAAATAGATTTTAACATTTGAATATAAACAATGTTGCATGGGTGAGCTTTAAATTCATGTGATTTGTTATCACGTTCTCTTGAGTTTATGAGAACGAGGGCCCGAACGAAGTTCCTTGGATTCTGGACAAAGCAACAGTTGTAGCCAATGAGACACCGAGTCATAGACAAAGCAACAGCTGTAGCCAATGAGACACCAAATCATAGACAAAGCAACAGCTGTAGCCAACGAGACACCGAATCATAGACAAAGCAACAGCTGTAGCCAATGAGACACCGAATCATAGACAAAGCAACAGCTGTAGCCAATGAGACACCGAATCATAGACAAAGCAACAGCTGTAGCCAATGAGACACCGAATCATAGACAAAGCAACAGCTGTAGCCAATGAGACACTGATCATGAAACAAAAACACCAAGGAGATACTAAAATGGAGACACCAACATAAAGAGAAAGCAACAGTTGTTGCTAACCAAATACCTATTGCAATTTCAAAAAACACGAATTAAGACAAATAAAATCACACGATATTGCATTGTTTTTGTTGGTGATAAGTTAAAATCAACGAGATATCATTATCTTTAAGGAAAGCTAGTCTTTTGCCAACCAACAGCGCCTGCTTAAAACTTCACTGAAATGAAACATGTGTTGAGAAACGTTGCATTACAGCATTGAAATCGATACTGTGTCGCGTTGAAGCCGTAGATGTCAGTTGCAGTACAAATACTCAATGTCAACAACAGGTTATTTTTATTCAGCAACTTGCCAATTCCATCAGACCCTGAAATACTGAGGAATGTTATAATCAGAACAGTTTACATTGACAAGGCAGCAAAGAGAAAATTCTTCTAACTAGATCTACATTTTGAGAAACAAAATTAAGATATGCATCAGCTTTAATCATTTGATATGGCCAAATATGAAAACATTTAGCCGAATCATACGTTTTCTCAACAAAACAGTTTC